GTCCACATTCTTCCTCAACCGAGGATTCCCCAGCTCTGTTGTCGACAAGGCCCTCAAATCGGGTCCGACCCATCTCCCGCACTTCTGCCCTCACCCCTTCTCTTCCCTCCCACAACAGCGATAGGGTTCCCCTTATCCTCACCTACCATCCCACCAGCATCCACATCCAGAAGATCAGACACCATTTCCGCCACCTCCAGACACACATTCCCCTCCCCTCCCCTCCCCTGTCCACCTTCCGCAGGGACCGTTCCCTCCAGGATACCCTGGTCCATACTTCCTTCACCCCCAACATCTCCCCACAGCCCTACGGCACCTTCCCCGGTAACCGGCGAAGGTGCAGCACCTGCGCATTTACCTCCTCCCTCCCCAGTATCCAAGGGCCCAAACATACCTTCCAGCAACACTTCACCTGCACTTCCCAGAATCTAGTCTACTGAGTTTGCTGCTCACAATGTGGTCTCCTCTACACTGGGGAAACGAAGCATAGACTTGGTGACCGCTTCGCAGAACATGTACGTTCTGTTCACAGAAAAGACCCCAAACTACCGGTTGCCTGCCACTTCAATGCACCACCCTGCTCCCTGGCCAACATCTGTGTCTCTGGCTTGCTGCAGTGTTCCAGTGAAGCCCAATGCAAGCTGGAGGGACAACACCTCATTTTCCGCTTGGGGACCCTACAGCCCTCCGGACTCACTACTGAGTTCAATAATTTTAGGGCCTAAACGCTCCCATGTCCCAGCCCCCCACCCCACACACCAGGCCTTGTTACCACAAAGTGACAAACAACAGGGGGTGTGTAGTGGCAGGCTAACAGTCCCCATTGACAACTATTCACCCTCCCAGCCTGATCGTTAGCAACTCCTTTGTCTGTCCAACTGTCTCTCTCTCTTGGGGCTCTATCCCATCGTTTACTCCCTACCCCACCCACCTCCCTATTTTCTGCATATAAACTGACGTTTTCCCAGACACCATCAGTTCTGAGGAAGGGTCACTGGACCCGAAACATTAACTGTTTTCTCCTCCACAGATGCTGCCAGACCTGCTGACCTTTTCCAGCAACTTTGTTTTTGTTAACCCAGAGACCCAGATAATGTTATGGGGACCTGGGTTCGAATCCCACTGTGGCAGATGGTAGAATTTGAATTCAATAAAGGAAAAACATGAAAATCTGGAATTAAGAGTCTAATGTTAACCATGAATCTTTGGTTGGGGAAATAACCAATTTGGTTCACTGGTGCCCTTTCGGGAAGGAAACTATCATCCTATTTGGTCTGGCCCACATGTGATGCATGGGGACCATCCGACTCATCTGCACAGGTAGCACAAACAACAGCATTGCATTCAGGATGGAGAGGGGACCCTCACCTCTTTTCTCTTCAAATATCTTCAGAAGATTCTCACATTGCTTCATGCTCCTGAGGGTCATGTTGAAATACCCACCACTGGGGAAATCCTGCAGGCAGTAAACATCTGCTGCTTGGAACCCACAACAGTCCAGTAGAATCCTCTTCCCAAAAAAAAAAAGGGTCCAATCAACTAGCGTACCTTCCTCAGTGTCACCCTGACTGTGTTCCAGACCCCCTGGCCTGAGGTGCAGGTGCTTGCTGAGGCCATAGCTCTAGGTTGGCTGTTTTCCACTCCCCTCTCCCTGAAATAGTGTTAGGCTGAAGCCAGCATAAAGATCTACCAATAGCAGGTCAGCTCAACCAATGGTCATCCAACATCCAATCATGATCCAGCGATGACCTACAAAATCGACACTTGATCTTAGCCAAAAGATGAGGTTATTGCTGGCCAGGCAGCATTTATGGTCTATCTCTAATTGCCCAGAGGGCAGTTCAGAGTGAACTGCATTGCTGTGGGTCTGGAGTCACATATAGGCCAGACCAGGTAAGGATAGCAGTTTCTTTCCCTAAAAGGACATTAGTGAACCAGGTGGGTTGCAAAAGATAGACCATCCCACAGCAACGAGGCCAAGCCTAAAGTAGTTGGATCATCCCGTACCACCTGTCGTTTGTGGAGAAATTTGTGAAGCAAAACACCTTTGGCCATAAGTCCATCAGGAAGTGGTTGGCACGTAGTGTCATCAAGGTGCTGAGGGAAGAGGACAGGGTGGATCCTATGGTGTGGTTCCTTGTGCCGAGTGTCAAAGTCATTTGTCAGAATGCCTCATCACCAGAACTTTCCAACAAGCCCCAGGGCATTGCTTGGCTGGTGGTGGTAAGGGCTCTGCCTGGGAGATCCATCATAGATGCCCAGACTCCGCGCCACCACATGCTGCCATCGAAGTGGCTGCTGAGGGGATGAGGCCATCACACACCTCCTTCTGGTACACACCTATGCAAAGGAAATCTGGAGAGAAATGCAGTGGTTTTTGTTGAAAGTTCGTCCCAAGCAGCTCTGTGACACAGGACTCTGTGCTTTAAAGGTCTGTTCCCTGGGACGTATACCGAGACAAATATCATCAGTGTGGCGAAAGATGCTCTTTGGTCTACCCGAAACCTGGTTTTCCAGAACAAGGAGTTCACCCTGACTGAGTGTTGCAGTCTGGCACATTCCAAGGCCCAGGACTACGTGCTTAGGGATGCACTAAAAGTTGGGGCAGCTGCTGCCAAGACATAGTGGGGGAAAAGACCACCATGTAAGATTCTTCTGCCAAAGCATAATGGGGCTCCATTCACTAACTGGGCCCTGCTGAACCTCTTGACATTTAGCCGAGGCATAGTTGTAAATATAGAGCAAGGCAAACACCAATGTTTATTTTATTCTCCACAAGTAAAGACAGTATAGATCTGAGCAGTTTCACTGACAGTACGTACATAGAATTCCTATGAATAAAATATTTTTTTGCAAAGAGAAAAAAAAATTCAACACAAAAGACCTCAAACTGGCATTTGGCCTTGTTTAGGCGTTCATCCAATTCAGCTGCCTTTTGCAAACGCTCCATTTCAGTTTTGGAAGCCGATACAGTCTTTAACATTTCATGAAGCCCTACTTTAACTGACTGCAATGGGGCTAATATCTTCCAAATAACATTGCAAAGTGATACTCAATCCAAATAACATGGCGGATGCAAAGCGATGCAATGCATTCTTATCCAATTTCCAATCCAATGCACTTGAGACTTTGAAGCCTGACATCCAAATTTTAATTTTGCTTTATGTTCATTTATGACAATTTTCCAAACTTTCCCTCCCATCCCACAATAAAAATCATCCTTGCGCATCATGAAGATGCATGGAAGTTGCCCCCACCATGGTGCCAGTAAAATACGACAGTGCCTACTTTCAACAGAGGGAGGCCCAATTTTAAGAAGCCAGATGATAACAGTGTGTCATTGGTTGGGGAAAACCCATCTCGTTCACTCATGTCCTTTAAGGAAGGAAACTGCCAACCTTACTTAGTCTAGCCTTCATGTGACTTCAGACCTCTAGCAATGGTCAGAAGTCCAGAGGCATGTTAGGCCATGCACCCATTTATTTAATTTCCACAGCATCCCCACTGCCCTCAGTGCTTCTTTCAGAGGATGAAGAAAGATTTCCTGTTTGAGCAAATCTCACTGCAGAAATGCAATTTTAACATCAACTGATCTACGTTCCCCAATATCTGTTGCTAACAAAGCCAAGAAAAATCTTCAAAGTTGCTTTACATATGAATCTACTATCTCGCTTCCCCAGATCTTTCTTCAAAGCTCAAGTCACTTGGAAGGGCATAAAAATGATTAATCCCAAACTATTGGAAAAGCTGTCAGTAGTTAAGGTTAATAAGGCACTGAAACCAGATGAGGTACATCCAGAGATATGGAAGGGAGAGAGAATGGAAATTGCAGAGGCACTGACAAGAAATTTCTAACCTCCCCTGGATTCAGGAATGGTGTCAGGAGGACTAAAGAGGTTTTAAAAATCATAGAATCCCTACAGTGTGGAAACAGGCCATTTGGCCCAACCAGTCCACACCGCCCTTCCGAACAGCATCCCACACAGACCCATTCCCCTACTCTTTCCCTGTAACCCTGCATCCCCCATGTCTAATCCACCTAACTTGCACAACCCTGAACACTACAGGCAATTTAGCGTGGCTATTCCACCAAATCTAAACAGCTTTGGACTGTGGAAGGAAACCGGAACACCCGGAGAATGTGTGGAGTTTGCACAGACAGTTGCCCGAGGGTGGAATCAAACCAGGGACTCTGGAGCTGCAGTGCTAGCCACTGAGCCACCGTGCTGCCTGATCCAATTTATTTAATTGTCACATGTACCTAAGTAGAGAGTGAAAATTTTTACTTTTACATGCAGTGCAGGCCAATCATACCATACAACAAAGCAAGGAATACAATGTTACAGTTGAAGGTGTACAAAGAGCAAGATCAATATTAAATTTAAAATTTGAGGTCCATTCTGAAGTCTAATAACAGCAGGGAAGAAGCTGCTCCTGAATCAGTTCGTAAGTGGGTTTAAGCTTCTGATTATGACAGAAAAGGTTGGAAGAGATTATAACTGGCGTGGGAGGGGTCTTTGATTATGTTGGCTGCCTTTTCAATACGGCACAATGGAGTCAATGGATGAAAGAGACAACAAGGTGTAGAGCTAGATGAACACAGCAGGCCAAGCAGCATCATGGGAGCAGGAAGGCTGACGTTTCGGGCCTAGACCCTTCTTCAGAAATAGGGGAGGGGAAGGGGGTTCTGAAATAAATAGGGAGAGAGGGGGGAGGCAGATAGAAGATGGATAGGGGAGAAGATAGGTGGAGAGGAGACAGACAGGTCAAAGAGGCGGGGATGGAGCCAGTAACGGTAAGAGTGTCGGTGGGGAGGTAGGTCAGTCCAGGGAGGACGGACAGGTCAAGGGGGCGGGATGAGGTTAGTAGATAGGAGATGGGGTGCGGCTTGAGGTGGCAGGAAGAACAGGTTAGGGAGGCAGGGACAAGCTGAGCTGGTTTTGGGATGCGGTAGTGGGGAGGGGAGATTTTGAAGCTTGTGAAGTCCACGTTGATACCATTGGGCTGCAGGGTTCCCAAGTGGAATATGAGCTGCTGTTCCTGCAGATGAGGGTGTCAGTGGAGGGGGACTGTCGGGCCTGCGGGACAGGAAGAAGCGGAGGGCCTTTAGGCCATCTGTATGGGGAATGCAGGTGTATAGGGACTGGATGTCCATAGTAAAGATGAGGTGTTGGGGACCGGAGAATTGGAAGTTCTGGAGGAGGTGGAGGGTGTGGGTGGTGTCACGGACGTAGGTAGGGAGTTCCTGGACCAAGGGGGAGAAAATGGAGACAAGATAGGTGGAGATAAGTTTGGTGGGGCAGGAGCAGGCAGAGACAATGGGTCGGCCAGGACAGTCAGGTTTGTGGATTTTGGGAAGGAGATAGAAGCCAGCGAGGCGGGGTTAGGGAACGATGATGAGGCTGGAGGCTGTGATGAGGTTGTGGATGGTTTGGTTGTCAGGGGTGGGGGGTCATGATCAAGGGGGCGGTAGGAGGTGGTGTTGGAGAGTTGGCGCCTGGCCTCAGCGATGTAGAAGTCAGTGCGCCATACTAAACTGCACCTCCCTTGTACGCGGGTTTTATGGTGAGGTTGGGATTGGAGCAGGAAGGCTGCACGTTCTGTGGGGGAGAGGTTGGAGTGGGAGAGAGGGGTGGAGAGGTTGGTTTGTGTAATGGACTGGACTATGTTCACAACTTTCTGTAGTCTCTTACATTCCTGGGCAGAGCAGTTAACATTGAAACAAAAGAAGATAAGAGCAGGAGGCCATTTGGCCCTTCCAGCCTGCTCCACCATTCTTCACGATCATGGCTGATCGTCCAACTCAATTGCCTATTCCTGCTTTCTCTCCATAACCTTTTATCCCGTTCGCCCCAAGTGCTATATCTGGTCACCTCTTGAATACATTCAGTGTTGTGGCATCAACTACTTCCTGTGATTATGAATTCCACAGGCTCACCACTCGTTGGGTGAAGAAATGTCTTCTCATCCCTGTCCTAAATGGTCTACCCTGACTTTTCATGCTGTGGCTCCTGGTTCTGGACACACACACCATCGGGAACATCCTCCCTGCATCTACCCTGTCCAGTCCGGTTAGGATTTTGTAAGTCTCCATGGAAGTTACCCCCCTGATTTCTCTGAACTCTAGTGAAAACAATCCCAACTTTGTCAATCTCTCCTCATACGTCAGACCTAGCATCCTCAGAATCAGCCTGGTAAACATTCCCTGCACTCCCTCGAGAGCAATAGCATCCTTCCTCAGAAAAGGAGGCCAAAACTGCCATATGAAGCGGTGATGCACCCGGAAACATGACACTATTGTACTTAAAAGGCTCACTGTGGCAAACAATTAACTGCCTTCTTGGCAACTAGAAACGAGTAATAAGTGCTGGCCTGGCCAGTGACACCCATAATCCCACAAACAAAAGAATTTCCTGAAACAACTACTCAAGATAGAATTAGTAGTCATGTAGAAAATGAGAGTCAATTTGGAACCATTAACATGGATTTGCCAAGGAACAAAATATCATGTCTAACTAACTTGGAGTTTTTTTTAAAAACGATGTAGTAGATGACGAGCTTGTGGATGTAGTGTACATGGCCTTCAAAAAGGTATTTGATACAGTGCCACACAGACCTGAAAGCAAAGTTACAGATCATGGAATAAAGGCACAGTAGCAATATGGATACAAAATTGGCTGAGTGATAAGAAACAATAATGGTTAGGAGTAATGTTCAGGGTGGAAGGAGCTCTCCAAGGGTCAGTATAGGGACCCTTGCCTCATAACTTACTAACTGGCTATCTTTTTGATAAAAAAAAACTTATCCAAAGCTAATACTTCATCCGAAGCTTCATCCACCTCAGTGTCAAACTCAAATTCTGACATTTTCTAAATTTAGAAATTCTGAAAGATTTAACTAAAAAGTATTACCAATCAATCACTGAATCCCCGCCACTATCAATATCCAGAAAATTGACCAGAAACTCAACTGGACTTACCATTTGAATGGAATGCTACAAGGCCAGGTCAGAGGAGGGGAACACTGTAGCAAGTAACTCTCCTTGACGGTCTAAAACATGTCCACCATCTACAAGGCACAAGCTCCCCACTTGCCTGGATCAGTGCAACTCCAACAACACTAGAGGAACTCAACTCCATCCAGGACAAAACAACTCGCTCAACTGGCACCACATCCACTCCCTCCACCACCGACACTCAGTAGCAGCAGTGTGCACTATGAGGTGCACTGCAGAAATTCACCAAAGATTCTCAGACAGCACCTTCCAAACTCTGAGCCACTAACATCTAGAAGAACAGGGGCAGCAGATACATGGGAATACCACCACCTGCAAGTTCCCCTACAAGCTATTCACCATCCTGACCAGGAAATATATTGTCATTTCTTCATTGTAACTGGGTCAAAAACCAGGAATTCCCTTCCCAAGGGCATTGTGGGTCAACCTATACTACATGGACTGCAGTGGTTCAGGAAGGCAGCTCACCACCACCTTCAAGGGCAACTAGGGACAGGCAAGAAATGTTGGCCAGCCAGCGACGCCCACATCCCACAAGTGAATTTAAAAAGAAAATGGTTTTTGTAGCAAAAGACCCAAGGCCATACCTACTTAATTAGTGCATTCTCCATGGTAACACCTCTATCAGAGTCCATTTGTTAACCAATCAGTATTTTACTGTTATGCAATATAGAACATAAAACATAACAGCACAGTACAGGCCCTTTGGCCCTCGATGTGGCGCCGATCTGTGAAACCAATCTGAAGCCCATCTAACCTAAACTATTCCATTATCATCCATATGTTTATCCAATGACCATTTAAATGCCCTTAAAGTGGGCGAGTCTACTATTTTTGCAGGCAGGGCATTCCACGCCCTTACTTCTCCGAGTAAAGAACCTACCTCGGACATCTGTCCTATATCTATCACCCCTCAATTTAAAGCTATGTCCCCTCGTGCTCATCACCATCCGAGGAAAAAGGCTCCCACTGTCCACCCTATCTAATC